GTTTTGAACCTACGGCTGCTGGCAACAGTCGCAGATCATTACCACTCTACTACAATTAATAATATATAAAAAATTTTATTGTTTTGTATTGACTTGTTTTCTTTTCGTATTCAACTTTATTTATCTAAAATAGCGTCGTTGTCAATAAGGCTCATGTTCCCTAAATGTGAAAAGTAATATCCATCTTATATCCAACTTTATTCAAACTTTGGATGGCGAAGTTATAATTAAGGCTCATATTCCTTAAATATGAATTTTTCATATTTAACTGTATCCAAATTTGAATGGCGAAGTTGTTTATAGAGCTCATATTCCCTAAATATAAAATATAATCCTCCAATTTGATTATTTCTTAATAATGTTCCTTTGTTCTTCCTGATTTATAAATTCTCTTAAAGAAATATTGAATAAAGAAAGTGAATAGAGCTCCAACCATTGCTCTAAACTGTTCTAGACACCATATTATACTAGGCCCATATAAAAAGTATAACTAAAATAAAAATGTTTTTTTTTTTTATAACTATAGTAATAATAATAAATAATAAATAATAAATAATAAATAATAAATAATAAATAATAAATAATAAATAATAAATAATAAATAATAAATAAATTAATAAATTAATTGTTTATAATCTTCAACTTCTAATTTACCAATCATTGAAGCATTAACAAAACTTGACTTATACAACTGATATATTCCAAATTTTTTGATATATTGTATAGATTTGAGTAGCTTGTTTCTATAATCGATAGGCTTTAGTTTCTCCAAACAAATGAGTTAACTGAGTACATATATATCGAGCTATACGTTTATTATTTCTATTTCTTTCTCTCAATTGTTCAAGATAAAAGAGAGCTTCTATTCTTGATATACGTTTGTTTTTCTTTTTTCCAAAAACTTGAATTTTTGTGATAATAGTATCAAAAATTTGTATTTCATCAGTACCTTGATAAGGAGAATTCATTTGAACTCTATCCTCTATTTCATGAGCTAAGTTTCATTTAATTTGTTCAATAAGAAACTTATTATTTTTCTTGTTTGAACTTTGATGATTACTGTTTTCTTCTAAGAGAACTTCTGTTATTTCAACATTTTCTTGAATATTTGGTATTTCAGGAAGTTCAAAATTTTGAAGCATTGTATCCCATTCTTCATTATTAATAAAATTTTCATATAGATTATTATACTCAACAATACTTTCTGTTGATTGTTGGATAATATCTTCAATTGGGCTTGTTATGTTTGATCCATCTTCATGAATAATAGAAATATTTTGACCAGATATTTCTATAATATTGTTCATTGTATTACTATTTTTCCAAATTTTCAAAAATTGCTTTAGAGCTTGTATTCCTTCAAGTGGTAATAGATCGAGAAGATTATTGGTAGTTTGAGTTCTTGTTCGTATAGCTTCAAGTTGGCACACTGAGCTGGGGTATAGATTTGAGGTTGTTGTTGTTGAACTTTAGGTTGTAATTAATAAGGTATATCTTGTAGATTATCAATATTAAGTAGCTCCAAATAATAGTTAGGTTGTGTAGTAGGTGTATTAAATCCTGGTTCAATTATACAGCCGTTATCCCAAAGATCTTCAGAGAGAGGTTGAGAACGTTCATTTCCCCAATGAAATCCACAAATTTTTGAATAAGAAAATAATAAA